AACCGTCATATGAGCCTCTTCCTGCTAAACAGTCTAGACAGAGAAATCTGTGGAGACCCATAGAGCCCCATAATCACAGACACTTAGCAAACACTGGGCTTCCCACACCAAGCAGTTCTCTGATTTTCTGCAGACCCTGGTACCCTACACTTGAATTTGATGTAAACCACCAAAGTTAACACAAAGCCCAGTTAGGATAATGGCTCCGCCTCACAAATCTGCTTCCCGAGTCATTCCCAAGCCCAGGGTGTTACCTCTCCTTTCTAACCAAGCAGCTGTAATTGGGAGTTCCCATAATCTCTTCCTCAAGTTTGATAATTTGTTGTAATGGCTCCTAGAACTCAGGAACATAGAAGCATGGGCTGATTATAATGGATACCTAGGTAGAGATAGGTGAGGAGCCAAAAGGAGGGTCATGGAAAGTTATATGGGAAGGCATGAAGCCCCAGCCTCTCCGAGCGTGTCCATTACTAGCACCTTGAGTGGACGTTCTCTACTCAGGAACCTGGGAAGTTCTCCAGTCTTCATGACCTTTATCATGTCAGTGTGGTAGATTATAACTCCCTGGAGCTCCTCCCTCCACCCCCACGGCTTGGGAAAGTGGCGTTGAAGGTCTTCCCAAGCGTGTAGCAGGGGTCTGGCCTATCTGGAGATCAGAGGTAATCTCAGTATAATGAAAGGCAGTCTGGAGATGAGTTGTGTCCAACATCTGTGCTCCTCTTTCTTCCTTCCCGAACACTACCAAAACACCCATATCACCTAGGGAGTTGCAAGTGATTTAAAAGCTCTGTGTCTCTGGGTAGTGGTGTTTCTTGGGGGGCAGAAACAGGTGGATCTCTGAGTTTGAGAACAGCCTGGTCTACAGAGGAGTTCTAAGGGTGCCCGGGATGCACAGAGAAACCCTGTCTTGATAATGAAAACAAAATAAAATAAAGCTCTTTATTTTGACCAAACTAAAACAAATGCCACTTCTAGTGTCCCTGTCGCTGTGGAGATTATCAGAGTTGAGGTCAGTGTCAGAACTGGAGTCAGAGCCCACCCGTGTGCAGATGGTCTCAGCTGCCGTGAGACCCCATATCTACTTCTGCTGCTATTCAGTGAAATATGAAATAAATAGGAAATATGTTTTGTAAGACATTTGTCAAAAGATGGCCAGTTTCAGGCTAATGTTCACATTCTGAGAGTAATCCAGATTCTGCTACAGTTTTCTCTAGTTAGATGTGCACTGGATGCTGACATACAAATCCACTCTTCTCTACCATGCCGCCCTGTTTGTGTCAGACCTTGTCTGAGTCTGCTGTCTATTGGGGCATGCTCCCATGGAGACCCAGACCCACGGGGCCTGCCAGTGCTTTCTATTTGCCCAGGGATTCTAGTGTCTCACTTCCTGCTCCTATACTCCCTAGGGTGGATGGGTTTTTTTCCGGGGCGGGGGGTCTGACAAGTGTCTCTCTGTTGCCTTGGTTGCCTTGGCTGGTCTGGAAGCCCCTATGTATACCAGACTGGCTTTAAACTGGCAGACATCCACCTGCTGGCACCAAAAGTCCTGCACTGCCACACCTGGCACTCCGGTTTTGTTTTTTTATGCTAAAAGTTCATAAGTTGTAGTCTTTTCCACAATGCTTTCTCTGAATACCACGGCAAATGTGACCTGGTTTGTGCCTAGGTGCCTGAAGGAAGACCCTGCCACAATGTCCCTGCTGCAGAGAAGCCTGGATCCCGAGAAGACCCTGGGTCTGGTGGATGTGCTTTACACAGCCGTGTTGGACTTGAACCGCTGGAGGGCAGGGAGGTTGGTGTCCCCTCCACACACCTGAACTAACTGTACAGTGATCCACAGGCAGCAGCAATATCTCCAACCCCACCATACACAGTGCACAGGTGCTCAGGCCACAGAGCGTATGGGGACGGGAAGCAAGAGGGAAAGCCGGCAGCGGTGGCACACGCCTTTAATCTCAGCACCAGGGAGGCAAAGGCTTCCTTGGGTCCTTTCAGTGTTTCCCTCTCCTCTCCTCTCCTCTCCTCTCCTCTCCTCTCCTCTCCTCTCCTCTCCT